TTCTCAGAATTCAGACTTTTTTCTCAGAATTCAGACTTTTTTCTCAGAATTCAGACTTTTTTCTCAGAATTCAGACTTTTTTCTCAGAATTCAGACTTTAATCTCAGAATTCTGACTTTAATCTCAGAATTCTGACTTTAATCTTAGAATTCAGACTTTAATCTCAGAATTCTGACTTTAATCTCAGAATTCTGACTTTAATCTCAGAATTTGGACTTTTTTCTCAGAATTCTGACTTTTTTTATTATCAGACTTCAGTCAGAATTCTGAGATTAAAGAATTCTGACTTTAATCTCAGAATTCTGACTGAAATCTGATTAAAAAAAAAGTCAGAATTCTGAGATAAAGTCAGAATTCTTTAATCTCAGAATTCAGACTTTAATCTCAGAATTCTGACTTTAATCTCAGAATTTGGACTTTTTTTATTATCAGATTTCAGTCAGAATTCTGAGATTAAAGTCAGAATTCTTTAATCTCAGAATTCTGACTTTTTACTCAGAATTCTGACTGAATTCTGACAATAAAAAAAGTCAGAATTCTGAGATTAAAGTCAGAGTTCTGACTTTTTTCCCATACTATACTGAAATAAAATAAAAAAATCAGTAAACTTTTTTTTTTCCTTCAGTGGCCCTAATCTTGTTTTACATATCTGGAAAACAAAAAGCCTTTATGATGTTGAAAGCACGTTTTCTAAAGTCACAGGCTTTGGTTTGCTGATATAAATCTTCTAATTGTCTTTTATAATTTTTCAAACTGCTTTTGAGTAACAGAGTGAGGTTACTGCACCCATGGCTGCTTGGATTTGCTATTTCGTGCTTGAAAACCCTCGTGCCATGCCTGACCATTGCTATAGCAACGTTATGCTGAGTAAGCAGCGTAGCCGAATAGAATGGAGGCATTGTGTTTTTCTGTTATGCTACTGCTTCTCTTCAGATAGGAGTCATTTGCACTGAAGGATATCCTGGCACTCCCCAGCACCTTTCAGCTTTTGAACCTTTTCTCTCTGCAGATAAGCATGGCAGCCGACCTGTCCACCTCCATTAACATCAAGGAGCCCCGGTGGGACCAAAGCACATTTATCGGTCGAGCCAAGCATTTCTTCACTGTCACAGACCCAAGGAACGTTCTCCTGACCAACGAACAACTCTCACACGCACACAGAATCATCACAGACTACAGGTAAAGCAGCAGGAACAGGGATTGATTGTGATTGTAGGAAGATGTTGGCTCACACGTCTACTATCTTGCAGAAAAGGCATCGTCTCTCCGGGTCTGACGGAAGATGAACTGTGGAGGGCTAAATATGTTTTCGATTCTGCCTTTCATCCGGACACAGGAGAGAAGATGATCCTGATCGGCCGAATGTCGGCTCAGGTTCCCATGAACATGACGATCACCGGCTGTATGATGACGTTTTATAAGTAAGACCTTGCCAAACCTTAGAACACTAACCCTTAAATAAAATACAGTGGTAATAATTTCTTTTAGATGTCTGCCTATAGGTGAAAAGAGTCCAGCTGCGTAGAATTTGATGTCATTGTAAAGACAGCTCAGGTTAAAGTTCGTCTTTAGATCATGTGGCAACCGTAAACATACAGCCAATGCTACAAGCACCTTCAATGGTTAGAACGACTCAAAGTCCAGACATAGGGCTGCAACTAACGTTTATTTTACTAATCGTTTAATCTGTCAATAATTTCTTTAGATTAATCAATTATAAATCGTATAGCCAAAGATTCCTTAAAGAAGACTTTTTGTGAAATGAAACAAGGTGAAAACTTCCACTTGAGTTCTGGATAGAGCATATTGAGACACAAAAAAGATTTTTATAACTTCAAAATATTTAAATTTTTTTTTTTTTTACAATTTTGGTTTAATTGCTGCCCAAGGGTTACTAAATTAGTTGACGATTATTTTAAT